TTATGTATTTTTTGAAAACTTGCTTTTACCAAATTATTTATCTGATTTATTCAGGTTTATTTAATCAATCAGTTGTTGATATCTATATATTAAGTGTGTTTAAAAAATCTTTGGATATTATGAATCAGGTACATTCTATTAAATTTAACTAAGCATTTGCAAAATTAAGACCTATAATAATATTTAATATTTTATATATTTACTGAGGCTATTAAAGTATTCTATGAGCTAGATTACTACTATGAATTGGATTCAATTTTATTATATTAATTCAGGTCATTTGGTATTATAAATTTAGCTTACCTTTTTAACAATTTAATTATGCATTTCTTAAAACTTACTTTACCAAATCATTTATCCAATTTATTTAGGTTTATTTAATTTAATCAATTGTTGGTACCTATAAATTAAGTATATTTAAAAAATCTTAGATATTATGAATTAGGTATATTCTATTAAATTTGATTAAATGCTTTTAATATTAAGGCCTATGATATTATTTAAATTTACTGAGGCTGTTAAAGTATTCTATGATCTAGGTTACTACTATGAATTGGATTCAATTTTATTATATTAATTCAGGTCATTGGTATTATAGATTTAGTTTGCTTGTTTGACAATTTAATTATGCATTTTTTGAAAACTTACTTTTACCAAATCATTTATTTGATTTATTCGATATTTTGAATCAGGATTATTAGACCAATTGGGAATTAGTACTATATTATACTTGTTTTGAGAAGTTTTTGGGTATTTCAAATTAGGTATATTCTATTAAATTTATTTAAGCACTTTCAAAATTAAGGCCTATGATATTATTTAATATCTTATATATTTACTGAGACCGTAAAGTATTTTATAAGTTAGGTTATTGCTATGAATTGATTTTAATTTTATTATATTAATTCAGATCATTGGTATTATGAATTTAATTTGCTTGTTTGATAATTTAATTATGCATTTTTTGAAAACTTACTTTACCAAATCATTTATTTGATTTATTCGATACTTTGAATCAGGATTATTAGACCAATCGGGCATTAGTACTATATATTATACTTGTTTGAAAAATCTTTGGATATTATGAATTAGGTATATTCTATTAAATTTGATTAAACGCTTTCAATATTAAGGTCTATGATGTTATTTAAATTTACTAAGGCTGTTAAAGTATTCTATGATCTAGGTTACTGCTATGAATTGGATTCAATTTTATTATATTAATTCAGGTCATTGGTATTATGGATTTAGTTTGCTTGTTTGACAATTTAATTATGCATTTTTTGAAAACTTACTTTTACCAAATTATTTATTTGATTTATTCGATATTTTGAATCAGGATTATTAGACCAATTAGGAATTAGTACTATATTATACTTGTTTTGAGAAGTCTTTGGATATTTCAAATTAGATATATTCTATTAAATTCGTTTAAGCACTTTCAAAATTAAGATCTATGATGTTATTTAATATCTTATATATTTACTAAGAACGTAAAGTATTCTATGAGTTAGGTTATTGCTATGAATTGATTTCAATTTTATTATATTAATTCAGATCATTAGTATTATGAATTTAGTTTGCTTGTTTGACAATTTAATTATGTATTTTTTGAAAACTTACTTTACCAAATCATTTATTTGATTTATTTAATATTTTGAATCAGGATTATTAGACCAATCGGGTATTAGTACTATATATTATACCTGTTTGAGAAATCTTTGGATATTATAAATTAGGTATATTCTATTAAATTTGATCAAGCACTTTAAAATTAAGGCCTATGATGTTATTTAATATCTTATATATTTACTGAGGCCGTTAGAGTATTCTATGAGCTAGATTACTGTTATGAATTATATTCAATTTTATTATATTAATTAAAGTTATTGGCATTATGAATTTAGTTTGCTTGTTTGACAATTTAATTATGTATTTCTTAAAACTTACTTTACCAAATCATTTATCTGATTTATTCGATATTTTGAATTAAGATTATTAGACCAATTGGGAATTAGTACTATATTATATTTGTTTTGAGAAGTTTTTGGGTATTTTGAATCAGATATATTTTATTAAATTTAATCAAACACTTTTAAAATTAAGGCCTATGATGTTATTTAATATCTTATATTTACTGAGGCCGTTAAAGTATTTTATGAGCTAGGTTACTACTATAAATTGATTTTAATTTTATTATATTAATTCAGGTCATTGGTATTATGAATTTAGTTTGCTTTTTTGACAATTTAATTGCATTTTTTGAATACTTACTTTTACCGAATTATTTATCTAATTTATTAATTCAATCGGTTGTTAGTATCTATACTAAGCGTGTTTAAGAAGTCTTTGGATATTATGAATCAGGTATATTCTAGCGCTTTCAAAATTAAGGCCTATGATATTATTTAATATCTTATATATTTATTGAGGCTGTTAAAGTATTCTATGAACTAGATTACTGCTATGAATTTTATTATATTAATTCAGATCATTGGTATTATGAATTTAGTTTGCTTTTTTAACAATTTAATTATGTATTTCTTGAAAACTTACCTTACTGAATTATTTATTTGATTTATTAATCAATTGGTTGTTGGTACCTATACTAAGCATGTTAAGAAGTCTTTAAATATTATGAATCAGGTACATTCTATTAAATTCGATCAAGCGTTTACAAAACTAAGCCCTATTATAATATTTAATATTTTATATATTTACTGAGGCTGTAAAGTATTCTATGAGTTAGGTTACTACTATAAATTGAATTCAATTTTATTATATTAATTCAGGTTATTGGTATTATGAATTTAGTTTGCTTTTTACAATTTAATTATGTATTTATCGAAAACTTACTTTTACTGAATTATTTATCTGATTTATTCAGTTTTATTTAATTCAATTGGTTGTTGGTACATATACTAAGTGTATTTAAGAAATCTTTAGATATTATGAATTAGGTAAATTTAACTAAGCGTTTTTAAAATTATGGCCTATGATATTATTTAATATTTTATATATTTGCTGAGGCTGTAAAGTATTCTATGAGTTAGATTACTGCTATGAATTGATTTCAATTAATTAAGGTCATTGGTATTATGAATTTAGTTTGACTTTGTGATAGCTTAATTATGCATTTCTTGAAAACTTGCCTTTACCGAATCGATTTATTCAATATTTTGAATCAGGTTTATTACACTCAATTAAGGATTAGTACTATATATTATACTTGTTTGAGAAGTCTGGGATATTATAAATCAGATATATTCTATTAAATTTGACTTAGAATTTCAAAATTAAGGCCTATGATGTTATTTAATATCTTATATATTTACTGAGGTTGTAAAATATTCTGAGTTAGATTACTGCTATGAATTAAATTTTATTTTATTATTTATTAATTCAGGTTATTGCTATTATGAATTTAGTTTGCTTTTTGACAATTTAATTATGCATTTATCGAAAATTTATCTTTATCAGATTGTTTATTTGAATTGTTAGATATTTTGATTCAGAGTTATTAGACCAATCGGAAATTAGTACTATATATTATACTTGTTTAAGAAGTCTTTAGATATTTTTAATCAGATACATTCTATTAAATTCAATCAAGTGCTTGCAAAATTAAGGCCTATGATTTTATATATTTACTGAGGTTGTTAAAGTATTCTGTGCTAGGTTACTGTTATAAATTGAATTCAATTTATTATATTAATTCAAATTGTTGGTATTAGGAATTTAGTTTGTTTCAATTATTCATTTTTCAAAAAATTTTTACTAAATTATTTATTTAATTCATTTAATATCTTGAATTAAAGTTACTTGAAATTAATTAGGCTGCTAGTACTATATATTGAGAAGTCTCTAGGTATTATGAATTAGATACATTCTATTAAATCTAACCAAACACTTTCAAAATTAAGGCCTATAATATTATCCAATTTCTTATATGAATTGAGTTTACTAAAGCCATTGAAATATTTTATTAACTGTGACTAGGCAATTGTTAAAATCAAATTCAACTTAATGTATTAATTCAAGTTATTGGTATTATGAATTTAGATTGCTTTTTGAACGATTTAATTATTTGTGTTTTAAAAACTTACTTTTATCAAATCATTTATCAAGATTGTTAGTTTATAGGTATTGTATGTGTATTTAATTATGTGGCTAAAGGTTATGTAATTTAGATATGAACTCATGTGTAATTAGTTATCATATAATTATATTACTGTACTGACAATAACTATGTATAATTATAATAAAGTATAATTTAATATTGTAATATTTGTCATATAAGATCTGTACAATAAATACTAAAAAAACAGTAATGTTTTATGAACTAAAGCTCTTGTTATTAGATCTTATACTTGAAATTAAAATTAAAATATATAGCACAGTATGTATTTAAGTTTTATAAATTGTTATATATATATTAATTATAAGATTATATAATAAAAAGAATTATTTATTTATAATTTAATAATTATAAATTTATTAGAAAAATTATATTTATAATACTATACTAAAACATTGAACAATATATAAATAGTTTAGAAATTATTAAAAAAGGAAATTTTAAGAGAAATTCAATAAATATTATATTTTTATATAGTAAATTTTTCAAATTTTAATCAAAAATAAGTATTTCTGAAGCAAATTTAACATAAAAATAAGCAAACTTAAAGCTAACCTATCTATATATTACTCTAAGTTCTACTATATTATATAATTTTTAATATATAATATTATTATTTACTTTAATAATTATTATATAATAAAATATTATATAATATAGGTATTATAAATATCTTATTTATTAATTTTTATTTAACTTTTTGCCATTTTTTTAAACACATACATGCTCTAATTGTTGTAGGATTTAAATTATATCTTTGAGAAGTAATTAATTCTTTAGCAGCTAAAAATGCTCTTTCTACAGAAACACTTGTAGCTAAATATTAAAATTAAAATTTTAAAATATTTATATTTATAAATTAATATTAATAAATTATAAAATATTATACCTTAAACTGATAAATAATCCTTTGCCATTTTAGCTAAATGTGGCATTTCATATTCATGACCCCTATATTTTAAATATTATTTTAAAAAATATTACCGTTTGCCACTGTATACAGTACCCAGGGTCTTATTCAAGAATTTCATTTTTCAAATTGAATAGTACTCGTGGGTACTGTGTAAGAAACCAGATACTATATATGGGGATATTTCATATGAACAGTAGTAAATTCATATAGTTATACCCTGGGTACTATTCAAGAATCAAGCCAGAATGGTGATGAATAATACCCAGGTCTTAATCAAGGGGGTATTATTTTTGGGGGATACTGTATACAGTGGCGAACGGTAATATTATTTATAAAATAAATTTAAAATTTATTATTTACCTTCCACTATAATAAAATATCATCATATACAGATAGATCTATAGTTGGATTTCTTAAATATATATCCAATTCATCAAAATATACAGTTTTACGTTTTTTAAAAATATTTGCAATTTTTGTTTATTGAATATTTTCTAAAATAGAATTTTGAATTGGTTGATATTCAGATTTCCATAATTTTTCAATTTGTTTTTTATAATTTTCAATATAATTATCAAATTCATTTTCTTCATAATATTCTAATTTAAGTCTAGAATCTAAAACTAATAAATATAAAATTTATAAATAAAAAAAATAAATATATAACAAAAAATAAATAAATTAATATATAATACATACTTGTTCCAATAATATAAACTAAATCTTCAGTATCAGAATAGTATTTTTTTAATTTGGCTTAAGCTTTTTTAGCTGCATCTTTAATAATTATATTAGAACAATTTTTGATATAATTATCTAAATCATCAAGTAAAGAACTATAAAATAAAACAACTAATCCAATAGTTGAGTATTGCAACCACTAATATTATTAGTTGCTTGTTCAAAATTCTAAATTATAAAAAAAAATTAATATAAATTTAATATATATAAATTTTAAAATATATATTTTTTAAATACTTCTAATAAATCTTGAATTATTGTAATTTGATTCCATTCTTCTTTAGATAAAGAATATTTTTCTATTTCTTTATCAAGTTTTATCATTATATCAAGTGGCTAATAAAAAAATAATTTATTAATAATAAATTTTTTAATAAATTTAAAATTTTTACTTATTTCTTTTAGTTTAAGTGCTCTTTTTAACATATAATATGTTGAATTCCATCTTGTTTTAATATCAAGAAGTAATTCAAGATTATTAGAATTATATTAAAAAAATTTTTCTCTTTGTTGTGGTGATGAATAAATTATAGTAATAATTTTTTAAGCTTTTAATAATAATTATATATATATAATAAATATAATTTTATATAATATTTTATAAATATTAAATTTATTTAC